GCCTTGAAGTTGCTATTCATGCGCTTATATCGTCAAGACTTGATTATTGCAACTCTTTATATAAGGGTATTAAGCTTCTATTTTACAGCTGCAAAAAGGTCCAGAATGGGACAGCGAGATTATTATTGAATATTAAAAAACGAGAACACATCACTCCATCTCTGATCGCACTATATTGGCTCCCTGTGCAATATAGAAATCGATTTTAAAATTCTTTTATTGGTGTATAAATCACTCCATGACCTTACACCGACTTATTTATCAGCTCTGTTAATAGAGTATCAAGCAGGAAGAACTTTGAGATCATCAGGTCGAAAGTTGCTGAAAACTCCACGGACTAGGTTAAGCCAGAAAGGAGATCGGGCTTTTGCAGTAGTAGCGCCAAGACTGTGGAATAGTTTGCCATCATATGTTAGGGATGCTGACTCTGTATATGCTTTTAAAGCACAACTTAAGACATATCTGTTTGCCATGGCTTATTCATCTTAAATATTTCTATTTTTTTATTCTATTACTATTGTAGTATGTTTCTATTTCTATTTTATATAAGAATGTGAGAATGTAAAGCACATTGGTCAACTTGTGTTGTTTTAATAGTACTATACAAATAAAGATGACATTGACATTGACAACTGTACTGTACTATCAGCTAAGATGTATTTTTCTGTAGTTGAGTACCTTACGGCATGGACAAATAATAATTAGCAAGATTGTAGGTTTCTTTTTAACATTGTTAGAGGCATTTAAAATCAGTTAAACACAGATGCATCATGTTTCCTCCTACAGTGAAATTGCAGGTGACAGCAGATCAGTTGTTCTCAAAAGAGATTTAGACTTGTAGTATTTTCACTCACCTAAAGGATTATTAGGAACACCATACTAATACTGTGTTTGACCCCCTTTCGCCTTCAGAACTGTCTTAATTCTTCGTTGCATTGATTCAACAAGGCGCTGAAAGTATTATTTAAACATGTTGGACTATATTGATAGGATAGCATCTTGCAGTTGATGGATGTGTGGGATGCACATCCAGGGCACGATGCTCCCGTTCCACCAAAGATGCTCTATTGGGTTAAGATCTGGTGACTGTGGGGGCCATTTTAGTACAGGGCCCCAAATATCTTGATGAAAAAAGAAGAATAATCCTAAGGAAAACAAAAGGACATTCACCCTTTCAGGGCTTGCAAATGTATATTATGTATATTATTTATTTATATATATATATATATATATATATATATATATATATATATATATATATATTACAGCCAATAAACAGAAGATTAGAGCCAATTAATAAAATTTAGAGAATATTTTACTATTTAGACTCCATAGACTCCATACCATAACAGTCTTTATTATAGGCACTTTTTCTGCTATTTCAAGTGTGCCCATACCAGCAGCTTGCGTTGCGTAAAATGACCCTTGGCACGTTTAATTCACCACTGCTCCGTAAACCAATTACAGTATATTTTAAAACACAAAACAAAAATAGCACTGGACAAAGTTAGTATTAACTAACAGTTAACCTTGGTTTACCACCTTGGAACGTGGTAAAGTTTTGTTGCCTGTCCCATAGTTATTGTATAACTTTTCTCTTAAATGTATGTAAAGTTTTTGCAAGTGTTAGAATTAAACAATTTCAAATCAATGCTCATGAAATCACTACATATTAGTATTTGATGAATGCTCTCATGCTGACAGAAAATATTCTTTGAACTACATTCCTCAAATGTCCTTTAAATATGAAGGATCAGTAACTTAGGTTAAAATGACCTAATGTTGGATGGTACACAGTGAAATCATTAACAGAGCTCAGTGTTCATAAGTGTCCACTACAGAGTGTTAAACTGAAGCAGAGTTAGAGTTTCAATTTTCAGCTGCTTTATCACTTATTTTTTCTTGCTTGAGCGATACACAATTGTTCTCTGAAAACACTATTACAATTGTAACAAACACCAAGGATCAAGAGTCCAACTTGAATTAATAAATTAATGATGACTCAAAATGAGACTTCATGATGACTCGAAATTTTCAATAAAACATCAACATCTAAACCTCTGTTATAAATTTCAATAAGAACTTATGTAGACATACAGTATGACAGAAATAATGTCAAACTGGTTAGTATAAGTAAAGCTGGTAATGGATGTCACTGATTAATTTGATGTCACCATAACAGTGATTAGTGTTTGTCAAACACATTTGCAGCAGCAAAGAAAGCTAAAGTGAAATGAGATCAGGTGATGATCATCATGAAATAGACTGATTTACTGAGGTGTTTTAATCTAACAATTATGTTGTCACATTCATTTTTTTTTTATCGTGCATTAGAAACAGAGTTTATAGTTATTGTAATTTCATGCCTTTAATATAACACAAATTATAGTATGTTTGAAAATTACATGTTTAAAAATAAAAGTATAAAAATGTATTGTGGAAATGTGTCATCACAGTCTGTGAAAGGGTCCATTATCACAGGATGTATTGTTGAGTAGCATCGGTGGAAAAACGCAATCCATATGCACAGTCTTCACAAGAGACAATGGGTTGCTAATTGTGTCAACGGGTTGATGCAGTTCTGCCGATGTATGGATGTATGTTATTTATTTATTTTTTTTGTCAGGTCAATAAAAACTAGCCTTTATTTGTGACAAATGAAATAATCTGCATACCATAAAAATGTAAAAGTGCTGCTACCAGAATTATTTGTGTTGGTGCTTTTTTGCTTGGTTTAACCCTCTGGGGTCGGCTATCGCATCGGCGCAATATGCTCGCTTTTTTTCTTATACAAGTGCATAAGAGACTCAAATTAATCTGCTGATTTTGATCTTACATATAAGTGTTATACACCATTAGATCCTAAGTGTCTATTTTTTGTGCATACTCACAATAAAAAAAGTGTTCTGCTTTTTTGTCAAATAAAGAAAAATAAACATCGTGTGCCTTTTCTTTGTCAGTGTTTCAGTTTATTCTGAAACACGTCCTAAAAATGAACTGTAACTAGAGACACACACGAGTATGCACACCCGAGGTGTAACGGCCACTCCACTTCGCGTGGTGACCACATTACCACCTCGGGTGTGCATTTTTTCCTAATAATTCAACAGCATGTCGTCAATTATTCCTTACCTATTGTTAATGTTTAAAGGTCAGAGGTAAATTAACTGAATTAATCAGGTGAAGGAGAGGTTCCTCTAGAAATTGAACTGACCTCACAAGGAATTATATAAAGATATTTTTTGTTACTGAATTTTCTTATCAAATGTGTGTGTGTGTGTGTGTTAAAATTTTACTTTTGAGTAGACTTATAAGTTGGCACCACAGAAAAAAAAAAAAAACAGTCAATCCACTACTATAATAATTTATAAATAATAAACATTTACGCTGAGATAAAAAAAAAAGGTCATACAAAAGCTGTAAAAAAAATGTAGGACATGAGGGACAAGTTGAGTTCATTGAGTCTATAGTTCAACTCATTCAGCACATTCACCTATGTCATAACACAAATTCATTGTGAATCTGTTAATATTTAAACTATGTTGTCCCAGATATTTTGGGTGGTGTACAAAGTGTGTTGTGGAAGATTGCTGTTCTGTTGTGGAAGATTGCTGTTCTTGCTGTTCTGTTTTATTAAAAAATGCATTCATGAACAATTTACATGTAAATTTCTTCTGCTTCTTCTTCATCTTCTGCTGCTGACTGGGCGTCTATGGCAGCCCATAGAATTTTTTGCCATTTTTATGTCTATAACTCCGAAGTGAATTGAGATATTTTCACCAAATTTGGCACACACAGGTATGGGCTCATATGGGTGCCACTATAATAGAAAAAAAAACATGAAATTCCCATTGACTTCAATAATTTTGTAATGTAAAATGCTTTACTTAACAAATGCTGTAACATTATGAAACTCAGAATTTGATAAAAATCCCCTTAAGGTACTCAAAAGATTTTGAGACAGCATCACCTATTGGTCAAAACTTAAAATTAAATTTCCAAAAATGCTTATAACTTTTGAAAACATATGCCTATTGTATATGCCTATTAAAAGATTCCTTGGTTCATGCCGAGAACATAGATACCAAGTTTGACATATTTGGACGAACTTCCTGTCCGCCATCTTTATATAATTTCAAAACCTTCTTTTTCAAACTTCTCCAAGACCATTTGTCTGATTTTCACCAAAATCGAATCATATCATCTCCAGACCATGCCGACTAAAAGTTCTGGATTTTGTGGCGCTAGACATACCGCAGCAGTAAATTTGAGGCATGCTTAAAAAATGACTATTAAGTCTTTATCTCTGCAATGCCTTGACATTTTGACACCAAAGTTTGAATGTCAGTGTCACCTCACTCTGATCACATCACATCGATTTCGCAACTGTTCCACCTATTGGTCGAAAGTGATCATCCAATAAATCATCAAGTTACTGTATAAATGATTTTTTTAGCCATTTGCCCAAAATTCTCTTAAAATGCCTTTAATTGCTCCTTGCTGCAGTTGTTCTGCCACTCCCACCCATGAAGGCATCTGTTGTCATTTTTTCTGCTTGGCCCAAAATGGCTGCTTGCAGCTATATTTCATTCTATATTTGTTACAGGTCAGTGTATTTTAAATACATTATTTAAATACTTCTTTTTTATTATTTTTTTGTTTATGCTGTAAAAGAAAGTAGCCTACTGATTTTCAAAGCTGTTATACATGTAAAAAAAAACAAAAAAAAAACAAAATGAAGACATTGGCTGTGCATACAGTATACAGACTGGTAAATCATCTTCTGTGTCTTCTGTGAATGAATTGATAAAAATTCAAGAGAACAGCACTGCTTGCATTTATATTTAGGTTTTTTTTTTCCTTTTTCTCTCTTTTTAATCAGCTTACTGGTGACAGTTGTGCAATTTTGAGTAAACATTACCCTCCTTATGGCCCCTCCTATACTTTTTTCCATACCTCTTACCTGCAGAGTACATATAAGCAAGACTACTACCAACATCAAACCTAAATGGGATCTCTCTGAAAATGTCTTTAACAGAAGTGTTACTCTCGCAGAGCATAGGTACAATACTTGCCTTGCTGTTGTTTTTGATTATTTTTCTCTTTTCCATCAGCTCCAGCTCTCAAGATGAGGGAAAATATCCTCCAGGACCCAAACCACTGCCACTGCTAGGGAACCTGCACATGCTGGACCTCAAGAAAACCTACGTCAGCCTGTGTGAGGTGAGCATGAATTGTTTTTATTAATTTTAGTGGTAGTCCACTATAGTTGGCGATGTCACTTTGTAAAGAGAGGCTACGAGCATGCACACATACACGTTCTTTTACTACAGTTTTTACTACAATATCACTTTGTCTTCTGGGTAAATTTCATCTTCACAAAACCAGTACCATTCACTGTTATCCCAATTTTAGAATGTTCTCCTCTGATAAAAAGTCCATTTTTACTTCTTTGAAAATGAAGGCTTTGGAATTATATCTTTATTGAGTCTTCTCTGAGGAACCTTTAATTTTTCATTGACAAAATATTATACTGTGTTGATTTGTGTAAAATAACTGTTACGTCTTACTGTTATTATAGGTATCCTTTCATTTGCAAAAAATAAATAAAATCGTATCAGCTAAATATGTAATACACATGTGCATGACATCACATTTTTCAAAGATTCAAATGGTTAACAAATCACATATACATAGATTTATAGATTTAATGGATTATCACTTTTGACCAATAGGTGGTGCAGTTACGAAATCAATGTGATGTGGTCAGAGAGAGGCGACAATGACGCACAAAGTTTGGTGACATGGTGACGCATACAAAGTTTGGTGTCAAGGCATTGCAGCTTAAAGACTTAATTGTCATTTTGGCAGCATGCCTCAAATTTGATTAATAATCATGAAAAATATTTTTAATTGAACTCGAGTGGACTCGGGAATAATTCGAGTACGAGTCAATTCCGAGTCCAAATGGACACGAGTCCATGACAAGACCAAGACCATTAAAATATGGTCTCGAGACCGAGTCCGAGACGAGTCCGAGTCTCGAGTACTACAACACTGGGTCTAGGAGAAGTTTGAAAAAGAATGTTTTGAAAGTGTAAGGAACTTAGCTATAGGAAATATTAATAATCAATAATAACTTATGGATAATTATGAATATTCGGGTCAGTTAATTGAATTAACTTGATGTGGCTAAATTAATATTACAATCAATTAATCAGTTCTCACAACAAACTCTTTTGATTATTCATTTATTCTAAGAAAAGGGTATCTTCCATGATAGCATGTACAGCGCTTTGAGTATGTAGCAAGATCAACATCGTAAAAGGGACTTCAATCAGAACCAAGTACATAAAGTGCAAAAGTTTTATTAACTAAATCATAAACATGAATAAACTAAACAAATATACATAAATACATGTGTAGAAAAAAGGAGTGAGAGATGGAATGATGTAACAATGGAGAAGATCCATCTGACTATGAGAAGAACCAACAGCATTTCATTTTCACATTTCAATGAATTGAATACTTGCATTTGTTATGGGAACAATTCTTGAAGTCGTTGAGGGTTCCAGCAGTGGCAAGTGGAAGTTGTTTGAAAGTTATCTTCCTCCATGAGTACATAGCTGGTTTGCTGAAGCCCTGGGCCCTGTTGAGGCCATGCTGAGCACCCAGGAGAAGTGAGGAAGTGAGAAGAGTGGGAGATTGGAGTCGTTGTTGGTTGGAGTCCTGGTTCCAAACTCCTGAGATTGTCCTTGGTTCTTTGTGAGAGAGTCTTCTCTCTCCTGCATGAGGCCTGCTGGGCCCTTCAAGTCATGTGTAGTAGTCGTGTTTCATTTTCTGAAAGTGCAAGCAGGATGTTGAACCAACATCACATTGGTAACATTGATTCGATGCCATTTCCATTGATTTTTGGTTGACATTTTTAAAAAATGTCAACATTAATCGCAAGTGCAAACGTGATGTTAATCCAATGCAGTTAACGTTGACACATTAACATTGATTTAAAATTGTTTAGATGGTGCCTTGCTGGGTAGTTTAATTAGGACATTTAAGTAGATGTTATAAACATGCCTTACATTAATAGTGTGCATCTTGAGACAACAGTGACACATTTTAAGATGTGTCAGTGCAAGTAGCTTTCAGTTTAAACAGCTCAAACATGCATTTTAGTGTGCAACTAGGCTTAAGCCTTGTCTGTGAAACCGGGGGACAGTGTTATATCATTGCTAAAGGACAATGCCCTAAAGACAAAATTCTCAATAGGGCCTTTCCTCTCATTCCTTATTGCTTAATTATTACACATGCCAAGTATACATTTACTGGCAAGCTTACTGTGTTTAAAAAATACAAAAGTAGGTCAGCTAGTTCTCAAAATCACTAGGGTAAGAGTCAGTGGGAATGTTTGACCAGGGAGACAAACGTCATGCGGATGTCAATAGATCAGATTGACATCCGCATGTAAATCATCACTGTCAAACAGACAGATTCTGTGTTCATTCAAAGGTCACTGTTCCCACTAGACTAATAGTTATGGGTAATGTGAGACCAGCAGGGGCTGATGCCAGTGGATAGATATGGATGGATAGATTAAATAGCCATTTATGGCTTTGCTTAATTTTTTCTCTCTTGCAGCTGTCAAAACAATATGGGTCAGTTTACACAGTGCACTTGGGCCCCAAAAAAGTGGTAATATTGTCAGGATACAAGACCATCAAACACGCACTAGTGAACCTTTCTGAGGAGTTTGGAGACCGAGATATTACACCCATTTTCCATGATTTCAACCAGGGATATGGTGAGAGACATTCGTTTTGTAGATTGTCTTGATCTTGTCTTGTACTGTATATAAAGTTGCAAATAAAATTAAAAAAAAATTATCGTTTCCCTTTCAGTCAGTCACTTTCAACACCATGTTGGACTGACCGACGAATGGGAATCTTGCCAGAGAGGCCAATCTACTTCGAGTGTAACTAAACGAGCCAATGCATGCGATATTTGCTTCAGCTACTCCGCATCACAGTACGAGTACATAATGAGCAGAAAGTTCATCGCATCTTCAGCTTTTCGCTTCAGAGTCGAGCAGTTTGTTTGTTCATGCTCTAATCTGTAAGCAGTATAACTACAGAGAGCCAGTTCTTCAGGGAGAAGCTCTCTCTTGTGTCCATATGTAGTGATCCAGGGGGTTCCTATATGTGTATTTTCCACGGTATAGCTATTAAACTGAAGCCTGTGTCTTTCCCTTGGGGAGCCCCCATTGATGAGGCTGGAGTCACCCCAGAGTCATTCCATATGTAGTACGGACCTTACGGGGTTAATCCAAATGTAATCTCTACATAACTTCTTGCGGGTAGAATGTGGTTTCCGCAGTGTTCCTTTTCCAGTGGAAAGGGCAGACATTCTTAGTGTCATTCAAGAGTCTCACTGAGTGGGTCATGCAGAACAGCAGTGATTGACACTAGATTCTCTATATCAGCCTAATGGGCAGGAGACTGGAAGGGCACTTTGGTAGGGATTCCTATTCATGGACTGCAAATGGTAAATGGACTGCATTTATATAGCGCTTTCATACACCTAGTGGCCACCAAAGCGCTATTCATTGGTCAGTCCGAAGTGGCGTTGAACGTGTCCGACTGAAAGGGAATATATCGGTTACATATGTACCAAGTCCCATCGGCACAGTTGCTGGACCACCACTAGACAGCCAGATCATCAGCTCGGCTCCTCAGTGAAAACCTGATGCAAATGTCGCATGCCAGTGTGCGTTGGCTCGTTTGGTTACACTCGAAGTAGATCAGTCCGATGTGTTCCCTTCTTCAGGGAATGAGGGTTACATCTGTAACCAAGACGTTTTTACACTAGTAAGAAATGTGAGGTCCACTTTAGAGTAATGGGTAAACTATTCCTCTGTAGGGATTTTGTTTTCCAATGGTGAAAACTGGAGAGAAATGAGACGCTTTGCTCTCACAAACCTGCGAGATTTTGGAATGGGAAAGAAAAGAAGTGAAGAGATTATCGTTGAAGAAACCCAACATTTAAAAGAGGAATTTGAAAAGTTTAAAGGTAAGATTGTTAACCACAAGGACAAGATCATGATGCATGAAACTGATTTGAGTATTAACATCTTGTTCGCCCATGTGCAGGAGAACCACATGATACAACTCTGCCAGTGGCCATGGCTGTTTCGAACGTTGTCTCTGCCATTATCTACAACATTAGATTTGAGTACAGCAACACTAAGTTACATGACATGGTCAAGCGACCTTACGAAAACATGAAGATGACTGGATCAGCTTCAGTGCAGGTAACTAGACATTCCTGTTCAATCCACCAATAATTCATACACGGATTGATCTTTTTAATTATTCAAGAAGTACATGGTAAGTGGTAAATGCACTGTATTTATATAGCGCTTTCACAGACCCAATGGCCACAAAAGCAATTTCCTTTTTGCCTCACATTCCCCCATTCATACACTCATTCACACACCGATGGTGGTGTCAGCCATACAAGGCACCATCCAGCTCGTCGGGAGCAGCTGGGGTTAGGTGTCTTGCTCATGGACACTTCGACATTTGGTCATGTGGAACCAGGGATTGAACCACCAACCTTCTGGTTTGTAGACAACTTACATGAACCACTGAGCCACTGCCGCCCCGTACAATAAAGATCAAGATTTGTTGTTTATAATGCATTTGGAGTTTTTGTCAAGGTGTATGTACACAGTGTGCAATGGTACATTATGATTCTTTGCAATTCTGCTTATTTGTAGCTCTACAACATGTTTCCTTGGCTTCGTCCTTTTGTGGTGAATCAGCAACGTATTATGAATAATGTCAGAGAAACATTCAAAGAATGTGAGGAAATATTAAGTGGTCTGAAGAAAACTCTGAACCCTCGGCTGCCCAGAGGAATCGCTGATTCTTTTCTGATACGACAGCAGAAGGACGAGGTACTATCTATACTTTTAAATCAAATCGATTTGCAATTACCATTTTTGGCTTTCATTGTCATGACTTCTGCAGGAATCTGGAAAAACAGACTCTTTGTACAATTCAAAAAATTTACTATGTACAATCAACAACCTGTTTAATGCTGGTACTGACACTACGGCCACAACACTACGCTGGAGTCTTTTGCTAATGGCCAAATACCCTGAAATGCAAGGTATGCTGATTTTAAATCACGCCAAGAGTCAAACAGAGTCAAGTATTCAATAGTGCTGTTACTTATATACTTTCATACTGCGGTCTTTCTTGTGAATTTAACTAAGCCAAGGTCCAAGATGAGATTGACCGAGAGATTAGTGGACGCCAGCCAGTGATGGAAGACAGGAAGAACTTACCATATACAGATGCTGTGATCCATGAAACACAGAGATTTGCAAACATACTACCCCTTGGTGCTCCCCATCAGACCACCTGTGACGTTCACTTGAATGGATACCTCATCAAGAAGGTCTGACTCCAAGAGCATGCTGTGTTCTTGATATGATGTGTTTGTTCCATTTATCATTGATAATTTTATGTTCTTTTATGCAGGGTACCAGTGTAGTTGCATTACTGGTAACTGCATTGAGGGATAAAAATGAGTGGGAAACTCCTGACAGCTTCAACCCAGGACACTTCCTAAATAAGCAGGGCCAGTTTGTCAAAAGGGACGCCTTCTTGCCCTTCTCTGCAGGTGCAGTGGACTTCAAATTAGTTATAATTAATAATACTGACTAATTATATTGGGCTATCACAGATGATTTTTTTGAACACTTTGCTTATTCTTTTTCTCAGGCCGCAGGGCTTGTCCTGGAGAGAGTTTGGCCAGGATGGAGCTCTTCCTGTTCTTCACTTCCCTCCTTCAGCATTTCCGATTCACTCCTCCTCCTGGAGTGTCTGGAGATGATCTGGATCTCACACCAGTCGTGGGCTTCACCCTGAACCCAGCGCCACACAAACTGTGCGCAGTGAAGCGGTCTTAAAGTTAATATGACCTTTTATTAAACATTTGCATTTATTAATTTAGGTTTTCATTGTAAATACATTCAATGTTTATGGGATAGTGCCTTTGCTCTTTTTATGTAAGAAGTGTATTTGAGAATATCTTTAATATGTAAATGTATTTATCACATTCAAGTTATTCAAATGTTGTTATTAATCCTTAAACCTGAGGAAAAAGTTAGCATTTAGATTGCACTATGGAAATATTTGCCTACAGATGGTTTCTTTAACCAACACGTAAAGATAAAGATTGCACTGTAAAAACATTTTAAAATCTGTAAGAAAAAGTTAAATTCTGTCAGTAAAATACTATTTCCAATAATCAGTAATATACTGTAGCATTCTGGGTAATATTTAAACACTATTCCCTCTATGAGCTTGGTTTAAGAACAGGTATTAATTTTCTATATTACTTTACCATTCAGCAATTGCTATGCTATGTTAATGATATCAAAGCTTTACTTTGCCAAATCATACATAAGCATTCATTGAATTAGCTAGTTAAAGATATACACTGGTGATATGTCGTTTTTGAGAAAGTAGCCTACAGAAATGTACAGTTAATTAACAGTGCTCAAAGTCGACACTCAAAGACTGTGTTCCAAACCACACCCTATACCCCTCATTGACTATTCCTTACATTAGCTCACTAATATAGTGTATATATATACTGTCAAATTGACAGTGATTAAAAACAAGTGAGTTGATTCAGACACTGATGAACACCTGCTGTTAACAAGCAGAATCACTGAAGGAACAAAAAGAACCAAAAAAGGTAAAAACAAATGAAGATAAAAGACATTAAATCTCTGGAGATCTCAGCCAGGAGGATTAAACAAGTCTACAAACAACATTATCAGCTTCACTTATTACTAACCAGTTTGACTTCAGCTGCAATTATTACAAACCAGTTTAACTTTATTTCTGTCAGACGTCTACAGAAGTTATTATTACAAGGTGACAGAGGTCATTTTATTTTCATTTGATGTTACCATGATGGTGATCAGTGATGGCTTAAGTTGGGCTCTTGACCCTTAACTTTTCAACATTAGTTTTTCTTTGGCTGTAGTAGTTTATTTATATGAGCATTGCTATTTTTATAAGCTGTGTCTTACTGTGCTGTAAATAGAAAAACATGACAATATCATAGCTAAATACCTTGAAGTAGGTATTCTGCCATGTTTCTCACTAACACGCCCCTACTCGTAAAGATCAAGACTTAAAGAAAATGTGTGTTCAACTCGTAAATATTGATCTATACAGATGACGCACCATTATTATTAACGTGAGAAAAAAGAAGTTGCAGTAAATATTAATTGTCCGCTGATTAGATTCCTATATTATATTTATAAGCTGCTGGAGATCAGAATGACTATTTGAGTCTGCAGAATTTATGTAACGCATTACATTAACAAGTCAAGCTGCCTGTGGGGTGTCGTACACTGAGAGGCCTCTCATAATGCTAAAGAAAATGTGATTTATTGTTAGAAATTCTGCCATGTCTCTATATATCAGATCCTGAGTGAGAGCACATGAAATCAATGGATCGCAATTTAGAAATCAATGGCAGCTCAGCAGCAGTCTTCTGTTTATCCAGATGATTTGCTTGGATGCAGCTGCTGCATTAAGTCCATAAACTTGCTTTGTTATCTTTCTTTATCCCTCAAATCTGTGAAAAGAACAGTCGTAAATCCCATTGAGACGTATTGCAGCCATGGAGGTCTAGCATACCTGGAGAGAGCTTTTCAAGCAGTCTTCCCATTCATCTCAATGTTAGTTGGAAGCTCTGCACAAGTACTAGTATTTTGCTCCGGGCTAGTGTACAAGGGCCCAGTTTCACAGAGAGATTTTCAACTAAGCCAGGATAAGACCTTAGTTCAATTAGGACATTTAAGTAGCTTTTTTCAAATGTGCCTTAGAAATTTTATTTTTTTATTTATTTATTTTTGACTTGTGTGCATCTTGAGAAAAAACAATGACAGTGACATATTTTAAGATATGTCAGTGCTGCAAGTTGCATTCAGTTAAAATAGCTCAAATCAACAAACAAACGCCCTCGCACACCTGTAGGTGATCGTTGCGTAGGAAAGGAAGACCAAGAATGGTTGACAATCTAAAATTAGGAACTCCCGCACACTATCAGTACTTGCAAATAAAACTTTAATTTAGCAAGAAAGTTTCACTCTTACGACCTTCATCATATGCGGGAATTCCTAATTGTAGTTAAAATAGCTCAAACGTGCATTTTAGTCTGAGTCTAGGTTTAAGCCTTGTCTGAGAACACAGGGAAAGATGTAATATCAAATGGAGATGGCAAAAAATATTTGAAAGGTATACAACACATTACTTTTAAATTTACAACAACATATCTGAGTTACTTTTTCAAGTAAGAAATGCCAGTTACTTTGTTTTCCTGTGTATTGACTGACACCTCTCTTGTCCCAATGTTGAGAGAAATTGGGAGTAAGTGCAGAAACGTTTGTTTTCTGTGTAAACATTTGCTTTTACTCATCTCAGACTTCTTAAAAATCATTGTTTAAAAGCAGTGGAATGCAAACTCAGAACATTCCTCAAACCTTCAATAATTTAATGTTAAATAATAAGGTCACTAAAAAGTCCCACAATGTACTGTGATAACCAGGGAGCATCGATGCTCACTCTGTCCCCTTTACAAAAGTTCCGAAAGGCGAAACTTAAATCACGATAGCTAGCTCACTACATATCTGACATGAAATAGAAGTATTTACATAAATATTTTCATAAAAGAGTTTAAAATCAATAACAAAGTTGCTATCAGTTGTGTTCCAAATTTAAGCTTGATATCCCCAAAAAAAAAGCTTTCAGTAAGATTTTGTTTGGCTGCAGTACCAGATGTTTTCACTAGATGAAATTTGTCTCCCATTCACCCATCAGAAGTAACACTTTATTTTTTTCTATAAAGCGGCACTCCAGTGTGTTCATGTTTTTACTCACGGTCATCTAACCTTGAAGGACTCATGAGGAGAAATTAACTTGAAAAGATTTCAGCGTGAATGAAGGCACACACCTACCGATTATGTAATTGCCATGGACCAAAAGGTGTTCAGACATAGCAAACCTTTCCATAAACTATATACACTTTCTGGAAATATATATATGTAGTTACTTTTTTTTAACTACTAGCGCTTTTTAATTGGAGATAAGACAAATGACATACTGAGGATGCTGAGCACCTGTTTCTCTTGTAACAAGGCTGGAGCTGACATCATCCTCTGTTTGCTGTGGACTCTGCACAGAAAACACATATGTACTGCATAAGTCATGATGCGCAGCCCATCTATTCTTATTATAGAGCTGTTCTGCATTATTCATTAAGCTGAACGTTAATAGTTTATAAACGTCAGATGTAATAATAGAATGAGCAGGGTTCAAAATAATGGAAGAAAAGTCTCAGTGATCTCATATTCTCTTTTAAGTAGCCTGAAGCAGAGCTGAGCTGGTGGTAATCACTGACAGCATATTGGTGAGGCTCTGTAAATGTCAAAAGTTCAAATATGGAGAGCAAACTCAAATCGCAGATAAATGAACAAACCTCACTTTTTTACAAATCTAAATTTTCACTCACTGTGCAACACCTTTAGTAACATAAATAACCAACATAATTTAATATAAGCCTCAGTTGTCCCCAGAATGTGTTTGTGAAGCTTCAGCTCAAGATTGGTCTGCAGTGTTCCAACTGAGAGACATGTACTTCAGATCTCTATCCTTCCGCACCACATGCCATCCTGTGCTTGTGTGCTTGAAAGTTGTGAGGTATCAATACAAAGGGCCCTACCCTTCAAGTGCTCACAGCCAGTTGGGTCCTCAGGTCAATTGGGAAAGAGTAAACTCGTCCACGGTCTGAGGATCGTTGAACGAGCCGAGGATCTGAATCAGGTGTGTTAAATAAGGGAGACATACACAATATGCAGAGCAGTGGGTCGCGACAGGGTGATATGGCTGCTGGCTTGAAATGTCATACGGCGTGTCCTGAGTATTAAAAGTTCTCTTTCACGTGTTATTGTGAAATCACTCACTTCTCTGGAATGAATTAATGTTAGTAAGTGTTAATAAGAATATATTTTTGAATGCTCACTGCTGGGATAGCAAAGGTAGTTTTTATGTGATAGAAACACTACCACACTTTTACTCTTTAAAGCATGCCATCAAACACATAGATCGAGGTCTGGTGGCATCTACCCTGTAGAAGCTTCTCACACGACCACCCATTGACGAAAAGTCTTTATGAATTTTCATTAGATTTGCAGCTCATTGCTATACAGCTTACATCCCAAAGATGAGTACAGCAGTTTAGAGGATATGAGCCCATTAGTTCTTGTCAAAGACTGAAATATAATGATTCCATTTAGTAGAGACGTTTAAATGTTGAATATTATAGGACATACGTAGTTAACTTCCATCTCGCATAACCATTAGAGCAAAATTGAAGCGCAGCTGTATTTTATAATACATTTGCTAATAATATATTTTCTGATTGCAAATAAAGTTCAAACTTTTTTTTTTTTGTTTGTGTGTGTGTTAGCTATGAAAATGTTGGCACGTTGAGGTGAAACCTTTCCATTATTGGTAATATTTTAAACATAAAATGGCATATGCAAACACATCAATATTACTGATCTGATTAAAAATAAGTGATTTTTACAAAAAAGGACTCTAGGGATACTGTTTAAAATACTCCATTAACAAGGAGGTTTGAATCTCTTTATTATGACCATAACAAGGTTAATAGTAACCAAGCCTTTAAAACATGACTGGTGTATGAATTATTCATGTATAACAAGCAAATAATTTCAAATAATTTTGGCAAGAAACCAAATCTGGAGGATGTATATTCTGCATTACACATGAAAAATGGCATTAGCATAGATTTAGATGTTTATTCCCTTATTTTGAAAATTTCTTTTTGATATTTTGACAGTTTGCAAAAAGAAAGAAAGATTCACACCTTAAATACATGCCACCTCCACACAATCTCATCAAAGTTTCTTTGGTTCACAAGTGATAGGATCCTTAGTCCGTAGTGTCAAATGTGCCAAAATATAGCGATTGAGCAAAATTACAGCTTCACACTATCCTACAATCACATGACACATACAGTAATTGTCATCTGTTTGGCTGTTGGAAGAGGTACATTGACATGTATGTATATATATATATATATATATATATATATATATATATATATATATATATATATATATACACGCCACGCCACACACACACACTGTGTGATGTTGGCTGTATGCCCCAGCTGGGGAACTGCCATTGAAATGAATGGGAGTGCTAACAGATCAATTTACCTCAGTACATTTTTGAGTTTTTGGTCCAGACAGCAGGCCAAGGTTTCCTTGTTCAACCTGAGCTAGTGTTCTTCCTGCATGCATAAAGGATGACAGTATTTTTTTTTTTTCAGACTCACTACAGCATGCCCACTGATCTGGAGTCAGTTCATCCAATGCCTTTGATCTCTG